AGTGACTAAAATTTCGATTACTTTTAAAACTGGGCTATTTTTGAACGACCACTTGTAAATCTGGCTATTTTTGAATTTCTCCCAATATTTTCAGACTACACAGAGTAGTTGAATTCATGTCCTATTGCACATTTTATTTCTTTTGACATATTACATACATAACTTCTTACATATTTAAGGGCTTCATATTTATTTATTTATGAAATAAAAGAAAGGAGACATAGCAATGAACAGATTGGGCCTCAAGCTACCCAGTTACCAAGCAGCTCACTAATGGGAATAAGGGTTGACCTATCACTTGCCCTACCCTAATAAAATTTTTCAAAAATTAAGTTTTGCCCTGCCCCACCCTATTTAACTGTTTCCTTGCCCTAACCCATTAAGTATTTTACCTGCTCCGCCCCGTTCAATTGCCATCCCTGAGTTTAGCATACCCATGGCAAGGACATACACAGGAAGGGCGGAGTGTAATGGTGCAAATAACCATTACAGAGATATTAGATTTGCCATGGCATAAATAATAAATGAGAGTACTCATGTTATAGCAGAAGATGATAAAGAATGAGAAACTACAGCGAGTGGATAATTAAAGAGGCTATCCATCAATATAGAAACAAAAGTTTCCAACTTCTAAAGCAATGTCGAGAATCTCCGCTCAAGTTCTCTCTATGCAGCCTCAGTTAACTTGTTCTTTATGAACTTGATATCCCTAGCCTCCTGTTTATAAATATGGTACACAATATACCCATAAACATGACTCTACTAGATGTGATATATAGATTCCCTAGGACAAACCTGTTCTAATTCCAAGTTTGTCATACCCCAACCTTGGAAGGTGCGACCGACACATGACGCCCGAAAGCTTGTGCGAACCGACATCCATACTTAGACCATATAATATGAAATCTGGACCAACAAGGCCACCAAGTGTAATGCCAGAATTAATAAAGTTTCACAATTGACCATGGCAGGATCACTAACATTTTATATACACACCACCATTATCAACAAAGTTATATACATAACCTGAACACTAATCTGCAAGCCTTTTAAGAGTATCATAACACATAACTTGGTTGGGACAGGGCCCTACCGTACCCAAAATGACTGGAACATATACTTCAGTACCTATCTACTTCTGAACACCTACTCTGGAAAAATGGAGTGCGATGATTGATAGTTGGAACGTACACCCGACTGGGGAAAGACGCCATCGGGTGTATCTGCACATGTGGGCATGAGCATAGCGCCTAAAAGAACGAGGCGTCAGTACGGAAAATGTACTGAGCATGCAAGACTACGAAGGCATATAAATCTAGAACATAACAAAAGAGATATAAACACGAGATTTCAACCTAAATGCCAACAAGTCACCGGGAGCGTAAATTGTGGAAACTATACAACTTTAAAGTATACATGCTTTATAAAAGGTTAAGCCATTGCTGGAGATTATGCATTAAATGTGATATAATACAATATTACTCGCCACTCTTTGAGGCATATCCTTTCATATCATACCTGGTCTCGTAGAGGACTCGTGAGGTTTTATTCTTTCATCACACTGTACCCAGACTCAAGAGATCTCGGCGGTACTCGGCATCATAAGGGCTTGGTGGTATTTCATAGCACATTATTTCGTACCCGTCTTTACTGAGAGCTCAGTCATACCCGGCCAAACAAGGACTCGGAATTTCACATTGCATCTCATCATACTCAACTTATCAGTAGTTGCACAATAAGTGTCGTACCCAAACATCTATAGCGCGACTCGATAAAGTAAAAGTGCAGTGCAAGACCCATTTTCAAGAGATGCTAAGTCTAAACTCAAAATCATGCTTTTCGATATCAGGATACTTATCTGGGAACACCTCAGACTTAAAAGAAAAGCTATTGGCAAAAATGTAAAAGAACAGGACCAACGTTATTGGAAAGGGTTTAGAACAAGCCAGTCTTACAACACAGAAATCCTTTGGAGAGAAAGAGAGAGAGAGAGAGATGCTCACACCAAATCATGCCAAGAAAGAAGGTTGTCTTACATACCTTTTTGAAGAACTAGTTACACCTTCTGAATTTTTATGCTCCAATAGTGATCAACTCTGCCTCCAATGAATCTTCAAAAATTGATATAACAAGATAATTTATATTACAATGACGATTTCAACTTCTTCACGCTAGCTCCTACGGGGTTCGCCTCCGATTCATCCTTAGATTGTTTGGGGAATTCTAAAAAGGGTTTGAGAGTATTTTGAGTGAGCTAAAATGGGTGATGTCTGCTAGAATGAAGAGAAGAGAATTGCAATGCCTTCTATACCATACCTAATCTAGGAAACTCCGCCACCTGCAGATGCAAAATGGGTCCCCCCTCCCCGGTCCTGCACTCGGTGGGACAGCTAGCACAAGCCTATGAAAACTTGTAATCCCCTTTGTCCCCATATGTGTCGTCAACCGATTGGCCGTGCTACAAAAAACTTGTCAATCTCTTACTTTTTGTGTGGGGAAATGTATGGGATGTAACATCATTTCCCTTTCGGAATATTCGTCCTTGAATGTTGAATCATAGTTACTCACTACGAACGTTTTTAGTTATTTTGGGTTGTGCCCGCCATAGTAGTTTCACTGTTATCTCCTGTAGTAAGGAACAAATAGGGGTACCTGGATTTCATATCTTCTTCAGCTTTCCAGGTTATTTCTTCTATATTATTGTTTCTCCAAAGTACTTTAACTGAAGTTATCTCTTTGTTCTGCATCTTACGAACTTGATAATCTAGAATAGCCACCAGAATTTCTTCGTGGGATAGGTCGTCTGTGACTTGAATGTTTTCAATAGGGGTAACACGTGAGGGGTCACCCAAGCACTTGAGAAGCATGGACACATGGAATATCGGATGTACTGTTCCCAATTTCGAGGGCAACTCAAGCACTTGAGAAGCATGGACACATGGAATACCAGATGTATTGTTCCCAATTTCGAGGGCAACTCAAGCTTATAAACCACTTGATCGATTCTCCGAGTAAGTTGATATGGTCTAATATATCGGGGGCTGAGTTTGCCTTTCTTACCAAACCTCACCACTCCATTCATAGGTGACACCTTCTAGAATATTCAGTCTCCCACATCAAACTCCAAGTCTCGTCGTCGGTTATTCGAGTTGGATTTTTGCCTGTTTTGAGCGGTCGATAAACGACTTCGAATCATTTTCACCTTTTCCACAACCTGTTAAACCAACTCAGGACCTAATAACTTTGTTTCACCAACTTCGAACCAGCCGATAAGAGATTTGCATTTCTATTAGTATAGGGCCTCATATGGTGCCATTCGGATGCTAGCATGGTAGCTATTGTTTTAGGTAAACACGATGAGTGGTAGATGATCCTCCCAACTCCTGTTAAGTCCAAAACATAGGCTCATAACATGTCCTCAAGCGTCTGAATGGTGCATTCGATTTGACCATTTGTTTGGGGATGAAAAGTTGTGCTAAGGTTGATCCTTGTACCCAATCCATTTTGAAATAATCTCCAAAAGTTAGCCGTAAATTGGGCACCTCTGTCCGATATGATGGAAATTGGAACCCCATGAAGTCAAACTATTTCCTTAATATATAACATAGCGTAATCTTTAGCCGAGAAGGTAGTCTTAGCATGAAGGAAATGAGATGACCTGATGAGTCGATCCACGATGAACCATTTAGAATCAAACCTTTGGTGTGATCATGGTAACCCAGTAATGAAATTCATATTGATCATCTCCCATTTCCAAGTTGGAATTCCCATATTTTGCAGCAACCCTCCCAGTTTCTGGTGCTCAACCTTAAGTTGTTGGTAATTCAAACACTAAGTGGCGTATTCAACAATGTTCTTCTTCATGTTATTCCACCAGTATAGCTGTGGAAGATCGTGATACATCTTGGTTGACCCCGGATGAATACAATGCCAAGATCGATGAATCTCTGCCATGATTCGCTTTCGGAGCCCCCGACATCAGGTAGACACAATCAGTCCTGGTATCTAAGGACTCTGTCCTCGGATAACTTGAACACTTGCTTCTTTTGAAAGGGAACGCTTTTTCTTATCTTCACCAAGTTTGGATCGTCAAATTGTCGTGCCTGTACTTCAGCCACTAATGAGGATTCAACAGTTTTTCGAACTATGGCTCCTCTGTTACCGGTGTCGAGCAATCGTGCGCTCAAATTAGCCAACTAGCACAAGTCTTTGGTCATCTCTAGTTTATCAATTTGCACATGTTTTAGACTGCCCATGGACTTCTGGTTTAATGCATCAGCCACAACGTTTGCCTTCCTGGGTGGTAGAGAATATCAATATCGTAATCCTTTAATAATTCAAGCCACCTCTGTTGGCTTAAATTTAGTTTTTTTGTTTGAATATGTATTGTAGGCTCTTCTGATCCATGGATACATCAACGTGAATTCCATACAAGTGATGACGCCATATCTTCAGGGCGAAAATAACAGTAGCTAATTCCAAATCATGGGTCGGGTAATTCTGCTCATGTTTCTTTAGTTTCCTTGAAGTATATACAATAACCCTTCCGTGTTGCATCAAAACACTATCTAATCCCACTCTCGAGGAATTACAATAGATAACATAGTCCTCGGGCCCTTCAGGAATATTTAAAATTGGTGTCGAAGTTATCCTGTCCTTTAATTCTTGGAAGCTCTTTTCACAAGTATCAATCCACCAGAATTTAGTTGCCTTATGTGTCAACTTTGTTAATGGAGCTACGATGGATGAGAAATTCTCCATAAATCTTCGATAGTAACCAGATAATCCGAAGAAGCTGCGCACTTCTGTAGAGGTCGTGGGCCTTGGCCAATTCTTGACTGCTTCGATCTTTTGACTTGCAACTTTGATACCGTCGTTCGATACTATATGCCCTAGAAAGGCCACTGAGTTCAACCAGAACTTGCATTTGGAAAACTTAGCATACAACTCATGTTTTCAAAGCCAGTGAAAACCATTTTGACATGCTCTGCTTCTAACCGTCAATAGCCCAAAATATCATTTATGAACACGATCACAAAGATATCCAAAAATGACTTAAACACCCGATTCATAAGGTCCATAAAAGCCGTTGGTGCATTGGTTAGGCCAAAAACTATGACAAGCAACTCGTAATAGCCATATCTAGTTTGAAAGGTTGTCTTCAAAATATATTCTTCCTTGAACCTTAGCTGGTGATATCCGAATCTGAAATCGATCTTCGAAAAGTACTTAGCGACTTGCAATTGGTCAAACAAATCGTCGATCATTGGAAGTGGATACTTGTTCTTAATGGTCACTTTATTCAGCTGCCAGTAATTGATACACATCCTCAACAAACCATCTTTCTTTCGAACAAATAACACTGGGGCACCCGACGAGGAAATTTTCGGCTGGATGAAGCCCTTATCTAGGAGATCTTTTAATTCCTTCAACTCATCAGGAGTCATCCTTTACTGAAGGATAGATATTGGTTGCGTTTTAGGTTGCACATCGATCTCGATCTCTCTTTTGGGAGGGATAACCTCTACCTCTCTCTACCGATGGTTACAAACCTTGTTCATGAGGGTGTGCTGATGATGAAGAAGCTGCTATAGATCTCGTTGGTGACATCATGTTATCCATATTTCTTGTTGGGAAAAATGCATAATGTGACCGGGCTACCCACAAGAATAGCATAAATCCAAACCCTGACGGCAATGCCCGAAATGATTTCTACGACATTGGCCACAATTCAGTACTGGGAGCCTCATCTTACTAGAGTATCCACCATATTGTGAGATTTGTCCTTGGGAATTTGGACCTTGACCGGAATAGGTGATCCGATAATGATGCTAACCCTAGGACTGTGATGTCGTATTAGCTGTCAGATAAGATGGATGTTGCAGAAACGGTGGTTTAAACTTACCTCGAGACTCTCCCATATCGCCTATACACCGAGCTCTCTTATGTTGGCCCTATTCATGCTCTCGAGTGGCTCGTTGTTGCCTCTTACGATCCTCTAAATTCTGCGCATAAGCCTAAATGCGAAAAATATCCATAAACGGATTCAAATAAGTTGTATTACATTCATTTCTCATATGTGGTCCCAAACCGGCCATTAATCGATGCACTCGATCACTTATCTCAGCCACAACCAAAGGAGCATACCTATCTAAGGAGTTAAAATGCATGCTATACTCCCAGACACTTATATTACCTGGCTCCAATTGTCAGAATCTATCTTTTCGTGCTCGCCGGAGCTCAACGGGCAAATACTGCTACAAGAATGCCTCAGAAAATTCCCTCCATCCTGCTGCTGAGGCACAAGAGATACCCTAGACAGTTCCCAAGTCTCATACCAAGTAACAACTGTATCCTACAATCTGTAAGAGGAAAGCTCTACGGACTCAATATCAGTGGCATGCATAACTCGCAAGGTTCGCTACATCTGATCTAGAAAATTTTGGGAATCTTATTTTGGATCTATTTCGGTGAATAGGGGGTTCCAGATTAATGAATTCTCATGCTAACCGCCCTATCTAAAGTGGTAGGGGCCTGTCGTTGGTCCTGGGAGGCCAATAACCGCGTCAACAACTGTATGGCACTTCTCATATCTAAATCCTTTTCAGAAGCGACCGGAGAAGGAATCGGGGGGTGGTGATGTCCCCGAAACTTGAGTATCAACCTCATCGTGAGGTTCATGTTGAACTATAGAGGCAGATGGAACTTGACTAGTACCTTTTTCTGCTTCTACATTCAATCCTTAAACAAATTCCTGACGTCTTGTAGTAGGCATCGCTATAATGATAAACAATATAAGGATTAGAAGCGAATACTTATGACTCAGCTCTATCGCACGATCTAGATCAGAAAGAAATGTATTCACCCTAAATATCCCTAGTAAGTATGGTGCAAACCATACCCATAAACATGACTTTACTAGATATGACTTACAAACTCCCTAGGAAAAACCTGCTCTGATCCCACATTTGTCATACCCCAACCTTAGGAGGTGCGACCGACACATGATGTCCGAAGGCCCGTGCGAACCGACGTCTATACTTGGACCATATAACATAAAATCTGGACCAACAAGGCCACCAAGTGTAATGCCAGAATTAATAAAGGTTCACAGTTGATCCTGGAAGGATCATTAACATTTTATATACACACCACCATTATCAATAGAGTTATATGCATACACCTGAACACTAATCTGCAAGCCTTTAATAGTACCATAACACATAACTTGGTCAGGACAGGGCCAACCGTACCCAAAATGACTGGAACATACACTTTAGTACCTATCGACTTCTGCATAGCTACTCTAGAGAAGTGGAATGCAATGATCGACAACTGGAATGTACACCCTACTAGGGAAGGATGTCACCGTGTCTATCTACACCTAGGACAAGAGCACATTTCCCTAAAGAAAGGGGCATCTGTACGAAAAATGTACTGAGTATGCAAGACTAAGAAGGTATATAAAACCAGAACATAACATAAGAGATATAAATAATGATATTTCAACCTGAATGCCGACGACAAGTCACTAGGGGGAGTAAACTTTGGAAACCATAAAACTTTAAAGTATACATGCTTGGTAAAAGGTTAAGTCATTTATGGAGATTATGCATTAAATATGATATAATATAATATTACTTATCCACTCTTAGGGGCATATAATTTCAAATCGTACCCGGCCTCATAGAGGACTCAGTGAAGTTTTATTCTGTCATCACATCGTACCCCACCTTAAGATCTCGGCTGTACCCCTGCACACAAGGGCTCAGTAGTATTTCATAACACATTATTTCGTACTCGGCCTCACTGGTAGCTCGGTCTTACCCAACTACATAAGGGCTTGGTAGTATTTTATATTGCATATCATCATATCTAACTGGTCAGTGGTTGCACAATAGGTGCCATACCCGGTCGTCTATAGCGCAACTCAGTAAAGTTATATATATATATATATATAAGTGCAATAAAAAACCCATTTTCAAGAGATGCTAAGTCTAAACTCAGAACCACGTTTTTCGACCTCAGGATATTTATCTGGGAACACCTAAGACTTAAAAGAAATGCTACCGGCAAGAATGTACTAGAACAAGACCACGTTATTGAGAAAGGGCTTACAACAAGCCAGTCTTACAACACAGAAATCCTTTGGAGAGAGAGCGAGAGAGAAGCTCACCCCAAATCATGCCAAAAAGAAGGTTGTCTTACATATTTTTTAAAAACTAGTTACACATTCTTAATTCTTATGCTCCTATGCTGATCTACTTTACCTCCGATGAATCTTCAAAAATCAACATAACAAGATAGTTGATATTACAGTGACAATTATAACTTCTTCAGGCTAGATCCTACGAGGTTTGCCTCAGATTTAGCCTTAGATAGTTTAGGGAATTCTAAAAGGGGGTTGAGGGCATTTTGAGTGAGTTAGAGTGGGTGGTGTCTCCTAGAATGGAAGAGAAGGCAATTGCTCTGCCTTTTATACCATACCCAATCAAGGAAATTTCGCCACCTGCATATGCAAAACAGGTTGCCCCACCCCGGCCCCTGTACCCCGTGGGACAACTAGCGCAAGTCTATGAAAATGTGTAATCCCCTTTGTCTCTGTATGTGTCACCAGTTGATTGGTCGTGCTAGAAAATAAACTTGTCAATCTTTTACTTTTTGTGTAGGGAAACGTGCGGGTGTAATAGTAAATCAACGTATTCCCAGTAAGTATATAATCTAGCCTCAAAGAAGTAGAGGCGTGGAGTCGACATCGACACTTACTAGTGGTCCAAACATCAAAGAATAATAAGTGTAGACATGTATGAAGCATAACGGGTAGCAACACTAGATAAATATGTATAACATGATCTTTAATAGAAAAATAAATATGAAATTATCAAATACCAAATATTGCCTCGAATAGAATATATGTGATCAATATCAAGTGAAAAATTCAAAATCGAGTCATGAATATGCACTGACTTCTTATCAAAATATTATAAATGATTCTGCTGAGGCGAATGGTTTGATCCCATAAGAGTGGTGTTACATGATACTGCTCAGGTCCTACGTCCTAATCCATAAGTGTATCTCATAATACTGCCGAGATGAATGGCCCGCTCTCATAAGAATATTTCATAAAACTGCCAAAGGTGAACGGTCCGATCACATAAGAATGGTGTTACATGATACTGTCGAGGTCGTACGGCTCGATATAGATGTGTATCTCATAATACTACCAAGTCCAACGACCCACTCCCATAAGAATATTTCATAATACTATCGAGGCGAACGACCTGATCCCACAAGAATGGTGTTACATGATATTGTCGAGGTCATAAGAATCTGTCGAGTTCTTACTCACCTATTCAAGCTAATCTAACACCTATATGTCTATGGAGTTAGAACTAGAAAGGACACATTTATAATTCTTGTACATCAACCAAGAAAGGCAAGTAGGTATATGTCTATCCTAACAGCGAATCCGTTTCCCGATGTCCAGGTTTCAAGAACTTGCTTTACTCAATCCTATATGCAATCTAGAATTCCCATTTTCGAGTTCTACTTTAGATTCATAGATAGTATTTAATTGGTGATCAAGTATCAAATCATTAATCGTAGGATTGAAGAAATAAACCAATATGATAAACTAAGAAATCAAAATTAATATCCGAATAACAATAGTCATGAAAGAACCACAAACCTAGAACGTGAAATTTAGCTCCACATAAACAAGGTAGTCAAATAACAAATCATACAAAAAAACATATAAATTACTAAGTTTGGTGGAAGAGAAGATGAAACCCGGCCTCCACAGCGGCTTTGTGCTCTCCCTTGGTCAAAAGTCCCTCTCAAAGGCATTTTACCCCTCCAAAATAGGTTTAGAACCCTTTTACACAAGTTGGGACTATGTAGGGCCGAAATAACCTTATCCCGCATGAAATAGGAGACTTCCCCGACACAACGTCAGGCCAGCGCTAGCGCAGAAAACAGTAACGTTTGGTTGTTTTCACGTTCAAAGTCCTTTTTCACTTCTAATTGTATCTCCCCTTATCATTGTCCTACACTTGGGGGGACAAAAGACAAAGGGTGTCCCCCCCATTGTCTCCTCTTTTTTTTTTCAATTTAATTTCCTTTGTCCCCCTGCATTTTATTCAATTTTGCTCAAAATCTCTTTATCTTCACACCGCTTTATTTTTACATAGTTAAAATATAATATTAAGCATAAAGTAATATAATTAAAACTCAAAAGACGGTTAAAAGTATTAGAACGTGATGCAACAATGGCTAAATATATGTATTTTTTACCGAAAATCACCATCCCACACTTAAACGTTGCTCGTCCTTGAGTCCACTAACAATTTTCATTATCTTTGAGCACTTTATTTTTACACAATTGAGGCATGCTACAACAATGACCATGGTTTATAGTAACAATTAAACTCTAGCATATGCATTCAAT